GGGCATGCAGGAGGCAGCCAATCGGTGATTCTCTATCATCATTGATGTTTCTATCTCTCGCTCCCTCTCCCTTCCTCTCTGCAATCAATAAAAATATATTTTAAAAAGAAGCAACCAATGAATGCATAAATAAGTGGAACAACAAACTGATGTTTCTCTCTCCCTTCCATTCTCTCTATAAAATCAATTAAAAAAATTTTTAATTAAAAAAAAATGGGCAGAGGACCTAAACAGATACTTCTCCAAAGCAGATATACAGATGGCCTATAGACATATGCAAAGATGCTAAATATCACTAATCATCTGAAAAATGCATATTAAAACCACAATAACATACCACCTCACACCTGTCAGATGTCTATCACCAATAAACCAACAAACAAATGTTGGCGTGCAGTGTTAGTGGGAATGCAGATTGGTTCAGCCACTATGGAAAACAGTATGGAGGTTCCTCAAAAAATTAAAAACAGAACTGCCTTATGACCCAGCAATTCCACTTCTCAGTATATATCCGAAAAAATCCAAAACATTAATTTGAAAAGATACATGTCCATTACAGCATTATTTACAACAGCTAAGATATGGAAGCAATCTAAGTGATCATTAAAAGACAAGTGGATAAAAGAGCTGTGGTACATATATACAATGCAATATTACTTGGCCATAAAAAATGAAATCTTACCATTTGTGGCAGCATCGATGGACCTAGACCGTATTATACCAAGTGAAATAAGTCAGAAAGAGAAAGACAAATACCGTATGATTTCACTTACATGCAAAGTCTAAAGATCAAAATAAATGAACAAACAAAACAGAAACAGACTCATAGAGAGAACCAACTGATGGTTGCCAAAGGGAAGATTCCTGGTCCGGGCACAGACCCAAGTTGCAGGTTTGATCCCCTGGTCAGGCACATACAGAAGGCAGCCAATCAATGTTTGTTCTCTCTCTCTCTCTCTCTCTCTCTCTCTCTCTCAAAAAAAAGAAAAATACAAATTGGTAGTAACAAAATAGTCATGGGGATGTAAAGTACAGCATACAAATTGGTAGTAACAAAATACTCATGGGGATGTAAAGTACAGCATAGAGAATATAGTCAATAATATTGTAATAGTATGTATGGTGCCAGGTAGGTACTTTAAAGATTGAGACTATCATCAAACTTCCCTCCCCCGCCTCCCAAAAAAGGTGCCTGTCCCAGAGAGTTACCCAGGCAGCTTTGCATGCCTTCAAAGAATGTATAATTGTGCTATTTAAATTGTCCCAGAGGAGGAAAACAAGAAGAGGTTCTTCCTGATGCCTTTCCCAAAGCCAGAATCACCATAATGCCAACACTTGGCAAAGAATGCAATAAAAAACACTACACAAGTCTCTCTTATAAATGTAGATGGAGAAAAATATTAACATTCAAGCAAGTTAATTCAGCAAAATATTAAAAGAATAATGCACTCATATCCAGTAGGGTATCCTATATAATAAAAGGCTAATGTGCAAACTGTCCTTTCAACCAACAGTTCAACTGGGAGTTCGAACAGGGAGCAAGGCCCACCAGCCAACTGCCTGCCCCACACTGATCACCTCCCCCACAACCCCAATCGGGGTGGGCCAGCCAGATCCCACCCATGCACAAATTCGTGCACTGGGCCTCTAGTCATCTAAGAATGCAGAGAGTTCACATAGAGAAATCCATTAATAGAATTCATCCTACCAATAGGTCAAAAGAGAAGAGAACATGTGGTCATCCTGAAAGATGCTTAAGAGGCATTTTATAAAATTAGCATCCATTCCTTATTTTTACAGAAAGTTCACTAAAACATGGAAGCATTATATAGCCAAGGGGCTTCAGTGGTAGAGAGATCTGAATTCAAAGACTGGTGTCCACTTACCAGCTGATTGACTTTGGACAATTCACTTCACTTCTCAGACCTCAATTTCATCGTTTGAAATATGATTATCGAATTTGATTGAATTAAAGTAGAAAATCATATTGCACAGTGCCAAACATAAAGCAACATTCAATCAGTGGAAGTTTTGTATTTTTGTTAACAAATAAAAATAAAGAGTATTTCCTTAACATAATTTCTAAATCCATCTCTATAAAAAAAAGGACTGTTAATATGAAATACCAGATAAAAGCTTGTGTTGCATATAGTATTATAAAAAAAGGATTTTCTAGTAGATAGTTCTATATATGGTATAGAGATAAAGACAGAAAAAAAAGGCAGAAAAAAATGTGGAAGGATATATTCCAAGATATTAATAGTTGCTTATCTCTGGGTAATAAAATTATGGGTGCTTTTTTCCATACTGAATTTTTAAAATGTAAATTCAATAGCAAATGTTAAATCACAACAGAGATCATAAGAAACCAGAACTGTTGCTCCAGAAAACCAGACAAATTGGCCAATCTTTTCCCAAAAGGCAAAGGAAATGGATTAAGAGCTAAAAATGATAACAGAAATGACAAGATTTGAGGATCAGAAAATGGATGTACAACCCAAGGCTTAGAAAGATTCTTAGGAGAGATACTGGAGCTACCAGAAGTCCTAATCAAAGCAATAAGTGAAAATATTTTTTCCAGGAATAAAAAAAGGTGTGCAAATCAAAAGCTTTACTCTGTTCCAGCCAAACTCAATGAAAAGAGAGTGCTACTGGTTACATTTTATTTTCATCAGTAGGTTAAAGAATTATACACACGTGTGTGTGTGTGTGTGTGTGTTCACACTCTTCTACACTATTTGCTGATGTTTATCAGTGATTTCCAAGTGGTTTCAAACATTTACAAAGGAATGAAAATTCCTGGCCTCAGACTTTCTGCAATACAACTACCAGAAGACAGGAAAGTCAAGTCACAAACCAATCATATCTTCTCAGATATGGAAAGGCAGAAACTAAACCACTCACTTATCCTTTTTTTTCAAAAAAAATTATTTATTGACTTCAGAGAGAAAGGGAGAGGGAGAAAGTGATAGAAATATCAACGATGAGAATCATTGATCCGCTGCCTCCTGCACGCCCCCTACTGGGGATCCATGTGCCCTGACCCCAATCAAACCGTGACCTCTTGGTTCATAGGTGGATGCTCAACCACTGAGCCTCACCGGCTGGGCCACATCCTTCTTGCAAAGGACACTTGAAGGCGAACCCCAGCTGAACGAGAGACCAATCAAAAGCAATTTCAAGAATGAAGCCGGTGCGGTATAAAAGGGTTCCAGGTCTTCATTTCCTCATCTCAGTTCCATCGCCCCTGCAGCCTGACCCTAGTGCTTCCCAGCTCTGCTCCGGGACAGGAAAGAGGTTGACCAAGGCAACACAATTCTCGCAGAGGCTGAGGGATGGAGGGTCCCTCTAAGACAGAAGAGGAGGCATGATTCTGCTTCCTACTGACTTTTTAAAGGGAGGACAAAAGACTGAGGGACTTGGGGCCGAGAAGGAAGTGAGTCCCCTCCTGGCTGCAGAGGGAGGGGAGGGTAGGGAGGGGAGGGAAGGGCGGATGGGGGCGGTCCACTCAGACCTCTGCCTAGAAGCCCAACCTCATCCCTCTGTCGGGATTCTCCCCGTTTTTTTTCCACCTGTTTCCCTGGGGAAGCAAAGGCAACTCACGGTTGGGTGCAGGGCACAGACTTTCTGCGCAGCCAGCAGCGCCCACTGGCTCCCACGGACTCTCTTACACACTCACATCCTCCTGGGCTCAGGGCAAGGAGTCCTGCACCCTCACTCCCTCCGCGGGGCCTCCGGA